TAACACCACGGCTCTGAGGGAGGTGAAATCGCCGAAACGTCAGCAGTCGACCAACGAGAACAACAGCAGCAACAACAACAGCGACAACGGCCACGAAGACCTATACCATCAGCTAAAGAAGACCAGTTTATAAGAACATATAAATAAATAAATCAAAGTAGTAACTATTCACTAGCACTTTAACAATCAGTGCTGTTCATCAGAGAACAATCATGCTGAACAATTAGGAAAGGGACGGCTTGAAACATTGCAACAATATATAGAACTCAGTGAAGTGAAAGGGGTCTCGCTTATTATCCATCTAATCCATCTCATTAACTTCATAAATTTTTTTTGTTTCAATGTACCTCGTAATGTACCTTCGTAGGTGTTACAATACTAAAACGGATGAAGATTCAGTGTTCTTGAGCTCATGATTAGTTTGGCGGCAATGGAAGTATGTTACCATAGGGATAGTTGTAGTCTCAACCCGAAGTGTCGCTCAACAACAACGGCCGAAGCGTCCTCATTAAGTTGTTTTTCGACCTGCCTGATTTGATAAAATGTGCATAAATTTAAAAATGGTAATGTCGAAAACAAAGGAGAAATCCTGTTGTTTCCTTAACACTTCACTACATTCCTGATGATAGCGACTGTTTTCCTATCCACTGTTTCCTCCTGTTTGGCAACAGTGGTTCATACGTATCGACAGTTTCTTTATTCAGAACATTTCGCTCAACGTGAAGGAACAATAGAAACCAGCCAGTTTTTTCACGAAAAACGATTTGTAAGTTCGAGTCAAATATTTATTTTGTCAGGCAAAAGCATCAGAAATCCACAAGCATTCGTTGATTAGCAACATGACGGCAACAGCAAAAAAAGTATCCTAGCATTAGGCCTGTCAGATTTAATACCCAATTGATTCCTCAATTGGCTATTTGAAAGTTTGATCTTCATTGAGACTTTAACCTTTCTTTTCCACTGAATAATAAAAATATTCTAATTTAAAATACGTCCAGGCTCTGAGGAAGGTGAAGTCGCCGAAACGTTAGCCATCGATCAATAACATCAAAAACAACGACAACGACAACGAAGATCTGTACCAACCTCGCGTCAGCTTAAGAGGATCAGTTTATAAGATCACACAAATAAAAATATCAACTATCTATGCCGAGGTTTATAGAAAGTCGGTCTTTCGAGTTTTCAATTGATTCCATTTTTTTTGTTTGCGTAACGTTCTTCAAAGCGTCTCTACGAAATCTTAGGAACGAAGCTTCGTCTTGTTGAATGTACAGCTGATTTTCTTCTGTCTTAGGTCTCTACAATCTGATAATCAGCGTAAAAAGAGCAGAAAAACTCTATTCCGACTGGAAATGAGTTCATGAGGTATGCGGATCTAATTCCGATACGATCAGCTGCTGCGTAGCTGTTCACCGACGACACACCATGCATAGGCGAGCGTGTTCTTGCTTCTAAGATAATACTTATATATACCAACTGCATCACCTGTCGCTCCGTCCATCGTCAACTAACTCTGGTTTCTGGAGACAGGCGTTTCTTGGAGACTTTCGAACTCTCAGCTTTCATAGCGCTAACGTGAAGATATTGAATGAGCCGATCGTATTCTTCATCGATGTAATCGACAACGGCATCTTCCCAACAGCCGAATAATGAATTTAGGACCCAGTTTGCGGTAGTTCTGCGAATTCGGTTTTGGAATTTAACGACTTTTTCTCCTTTCCGCGAGAAATATGATCTTGCACGAAGGAGACAATGGTCTAATCTCGTGTAGAATTTTAGCACAATAGCGATATCGGTTAGGCAGAACCTTCTATTTACTATGATGTGGTCTATTTCTTTATGTTACAGTCCATTGGGAGACTCCCACGTCCAGCCTTGAGGGTGGTGCTTCTGGAATTGCGAGTTACCATGGATTGTCTTGGTCGCCATGATAAACTCAGGCAGCCGCTCACCCTGCTCGTTCCATTCTAATCCGTGGGTCTTAATGTAACACTTTTCATACGTTCTTCTTGGTCCACTCTTGGCGTTGAAATCTCCAATCATGACTTTGAAGAATGTGTGGTCTTCCCTGTAGAACTTCTCCAAGTCCTGTAGAACGCTTCGATCCTTCTTCGTCATAGTTTAATCTCGGCACGTAAGCGACGAAGATTGTCAAAACCGGTATTGATCCACGTCTTCTTAATCGTAAACGTCCGATTCGGGTTGCAAGTTGTTCGAATGAATCGATGTTCATGAACAAACTCGTGTTGACGAGAACTCCTACGCCGCCGAATCCTCTACTGTCGCATGTTCCGAGGAACAGTTCTTCGCAGGTGTCATATACGGCGTTGAAAGGCTGGCGTCTTCTCGACTCAGCCCGGCCGATGACGTCGTACTTTATCCTTCTTGCTTGCATGCGCAGTTCTTCTATCGAGGACTCGGGTGCAAGTTTACGTGCATTGTAGGTACAGATCGTCACCATAGTTCTTTAAAATGCATTACAGCTTCCATTTGCCCCGAGATTTCGACAGACTTCCCGTACTCACCCTACCCAACGCTGCGAAACTTGGAGCTTTTTCGGGGTCAGGGGAATGAGTTTCTTTTCTTTACAGTGTTTAGCATTTTTGATACTCATGTATAGCTTGCCGGGCTCTGAACGTGGAGTATGGGTATACTCACGGGTAGCTTGCCATGCTTTTCCAGAGTGGCCACGGAGCTTATTTGTTGGGGGCGATTCCTAACCGCCTCCCATATACTTCCCTATCACTTGATTGCAGGCTTTTGGTCGAATTGATTCGTGGAATACAATCCGCATAAGCAAGAACGCATCCACACACGCATGCATGAATACGCCTAGCAAATACAGAAAGCATGTGCCAAATCAACGCATCATTTACAGCGAGTCCATCTCCTGGATCCACCTGGATTTCAGGGAAGCAAAGATCGCTTTTGGTCCTCGATTAACCCCTATCCGTATCCTGGTGACGCGCCACGCAGCCTCGCGACTAGCCGGCTCGGGACCGCTCATATGAGGGAGATTCGTGGGAAGTGGTAGTGTCTTTAAATTTTTTTCAGGGAGTTTTAAAACATTTTTTCGAAAGTCTCCAGTATTTCGAAAGTATTTATACAAACAGTGTCATCCACCTCAACTTCTACGTGAAACGTTCATTAGCACTATATCTGCTTATTAGCATTTTCTTGCGAACCTATAAAACCCACAAGAAAGAAAGACTCGCATCAATTTTAAAAATTTTATTTTTAATATTTGGCGTGATTTTGTAGGTGCATATTTCTATTAATTCCTTAGCCCTCATGTCTAATGGGAACTCTGCTGCAGAAGGAAAAACTACTCAAGCATCAGATTTTCAAATAATTGGTTTTTAAATGAAATTCGCGACAGTGAGCCATTCATGCAACGTGATTTTGAGAAGGAGACGCACTGACACATTGATCGCTCTCAAATCGGTTACTAACCAGGCGGTTTTCTTATCCGGACTTATATCCAGTAGTAAGAAACCTAGACAACATCAAAGTATACAACAAATGTTGGAGTTCAACTAAATGCGTACATGACTTGTCATCAACAAGGATTTACGTGAGGTAATGTCATCGCTTAAGTCGCTGTTAAGTTTGGAACTTTACTGTTTAAAGTTTCAAATTCATATTCACGTTAAGAACTTCGTCTAGTATTATTTTGTGTACTATATAAAGACAACAAAATTTGTGATTATCGAACAACGATGTACGGAGAATAGTTCATATTTCACACTGATACTCAGACTAGAAACTTGTGAGAGATTAGTGTCTCCATTTCGGCAAAAAATCAAACTACGATATGGAAAGGCCTATACGATGACCGACAGCTCTCGTTATTGGCGTGGGCACTCCGCAATTGCGAGCTGTCTTTCGAAAGTTAGCACAGCCAGGTGTCAGCTATTTCAACTCGTCGATTTGTCAACTACTCTGACTAGAAATTGGATCTCGAGTAATTTTTGGAGCATTTGGAAGACGTGGTTCGAGTTAATGCTTTAAGTGTCTGTGTGTAAGTAAAATATGCTTCTGGAGTCGTTCCTGTCTACATGCTCGTGATTGCAAAGTGGATTTCAGTGAAAGGAAACCGGGACGGTTTATCTCTAGCAACAAGCAAAGGTGCTGCATAGGTGTTAAAAAATGTGTTAGGGTCTTAGGGTTTGAAATGGAGTCTATCTTCCATTATTTACACATAGAGATGAGAGATGGAATGGTATCATATCCGCTCATAACCTTCTTTGAAAACAGATCATAGTTTTGCATAGGTCTTGGCGGTATTTGCTAAGACTTGTTCTATTCATTACATGCTTGTGAGACTTTTTTTGTCCGTGTCAATTCGTCTTGGTGCTAGGTTTTCCGTAGATGGCGTTAACTACAAGCTATTATGCATTGTTAAGTATGCGGAAATAATTAGAGCAGTAGTTAGCGGGGCCTGTAATACACACGTGGTCCATGGTTCGATCATAAGCTTCTAGCTCACCGAACTTTACTTCTATCCAAAATCGGCAAATTATTGCAACACGTATTTAAGTGGATAGAGACGTTGATCTGATACACTCCCGTAGGCCACCGAAGGTTCCTGCATATGCCAAATACGTATGCAGTCAATTCTGATACTGCTCATGGAATCGTATGCGCGGTGCACCGCTCAACCGCTCAAGCATTGATCAACGCCGAACGCTCTATCCTTTTAGTGCCATGGAATCGAGCTTCAGTTATTCTTTATTTACGAACAACGGGATGATACCAAATTCAAATTTATTAATTGGTGAGTTGAGGCATGTTCGTTGTCAGCCGCCTCGAAGTGTGGGAGGATTAAAATTGGAGGAGCTTTGAGGTACTTTGTTTGAATGTTTTACTAACGTTTGTGTATTTTTTTTTAGTATAACATGATCCAGACGCAGTTTATTGATAAGATGGGATAGCAACGAACTTCATTTCGCAGGTGAATGTAGACCATCATAGGTCGTAAATGCAAACAAACACGAAGATCATGACTTGTGATTGTGTTGCCAGAATTTAGCAATGACTTCTTCATAGTTTCGAGTACCGACAACACCTCGACTTTCCATCGTAACGACTGACCTAATAGCATTTTCTCTATCCAGTCGGTAATACTTCAGTCGATATATTGAGTAAATTGGTAACAGAATTGTGAAGATGGGAACCACCTAGAATGACAACGAATTTGAAAAAACGTCTTCTTTGTTACCATAGAAAAGCGCTTACGTAAAAAATTAGACGCAGAGAATTGCACAAATTTTTGTTGACGAGAAGTCGATCACCAAATTTTCTGATGAAGAGACCGCATGCCCCATGAAAAAGAGAAAGAGACCTGAAATTAGTGCTAGCCAACGGAATCCCAGACATTTAATGGGTGAGGAACGAAAAGCATCTTCGAGAAGTCAAAAAAAGATTGATTGGTTACAGATGGTTTTGGGAAAAAGCCTTGCATATTTCTTCAACTCCAGAAAAAGTATATTCGGTCGAACCAGAAAGTTATGGTCCAGCGGAAATTTTGTTTTTATTTTTTTTTTTTTTGTAAAGTTGCATTGAAAACTGTCATTTGATTTCTTCGGAAACACGGTCACCCATATATGTGATTGTCAATGGAGTACAATCCTTTGACGAAAAAAATGACATAACCGTAGAGACCGTTTTTTACCTTGTAGAAAACTGTAGAAAACACCCTGCATCTCCTCATGTTACCATACATTTCATCCCATGTAGCTTATACAGTACATACGTGATATGCCGAACTTGCTACCGTCTCCGTCGACTCCATGACCACTACAAGAAAGTGTTACCATTCTAGAAACTCATTTCCCCATAACATGCTGCTAGCTAGCGATCCACTATGGACGTTGTTGTTTTCGTAACACATATCATTGCTCGTGTTATACTTCATGCATTTATTACAAAGGCTTCTCTCTTCCACCAAATGTGACTCCGTATTCATAATATTTCTGCCCGTCTATCTTGTGTATATTTATGCTCTTGTAACTCAAGTTTAACGTTTCCAACTATGGAACACGAAATGTCAGAAAAAGAGAACTACAACAGTACTACACACGAATAAGGCGACAGAGCAAGGTGAAAAGAAGTATTGATCTGGTAATCTTCTCTTTTTATTTCCTTGACCAACAGAAAACGCTTCCCTTTTTACGCTAAAAGAATAGCAACCATCGAAACGCCTTCTATTGCTAGGAATGCAACTGCTTAGAATAACGTGCACGCATACAGCAAAAGTTAGAGCGCTGGTAATGACCATATTTGCTCGTCTCGATCATAGGTCCATATACACTATCCATCACTAATATACAAATTAGAACCAGACTTGTTCAGGAGATAGGAACGCCTGTGTCATTTTTGGTACCCACTGCCAGTCAATGGCCGGGCTAAATATTAATCGTAAATTCAATTGCTTTATTCTGTATAATGATTAAAGGAGTCGAATGGTTGCTGTAACTTTAGTTAACAGGCTAACGAAGAGCATTTTATTTTTTTAAGGCAAAAATAAAGGCGTTATTTAGGACATATTCAGTACCTCTTCAACGATCGCTTAAAAGCATCGTTAGCACGCTAAATCGATGACCTCGATACACGAAAATTACAGTGGGCCAATTCCATGCGTGAATTAAGATACACTTGTGAGGGAAAGAATTTACTTATTTAAGGGCTTAAAGAACTCTCACAGTTTCAACGTTAAAGAGAATCTGATTAGACTCACACTTGAAGGGTGGCGATGTGGCTAGCGAACTGCGTGGTAATGATGTTCTCTCGGATCTGATAGCGCGACGTTAGCGTCGCAATGCTTCTGAAGCAATATTATTTCATTTGCACGAGTCCTTCTATTTTCAACAACACAAGATTTCCAAAGCAGCGTTCTAGAATAACAATATATAGATCGCCAGAAATGCAGCACATCTTTTTTCCCTACTTTTAGATTTTTTAAAAAGACCTTGCTTTTTTTTTAAAGAGAAGTATAGTTGCCTTCATCACAGTTTGTAGGTGATTTGAGCACAATTTTCGGATATAAAACTTTTCACCCTTTAAGTGTAATGTCAACAAAATGAATAACTCTTTGAGATGAAGTGATTCCCAAAGATGACTTCTTTAGAGCTAAGAAAGGAATTAAATTAAGAGAAACATAACTAATATAACGCTGAGATATTTGCAAAATTCCGGAACGCAGGTGTCTGCGGTGGGGAACGAACACGTTATTGTCCTTTCCGGGGAGTAACGCGTTCGCCACCACACCATGCGGGTCCTTCGTTTCGCCTGTATCAGCAATCACACGTCAACGGGATTGATCTGGGTAGGCTAAATCGATCTAGGTAGAACTAGCTGAGAGACAGGCGAAACGAAGGGCCCGCATGGTGTGGTGGTGAGCGCGTTACTCCCGGGAAAGGGCAATAAAGCGTTCGTTCCCCACCGCAGACACCTGCGTTCCGGAGTTTTGCAAATATCTTAGCATTATAGTAGTTATATTTCGCAAAATACCCTGCTGTTAAAAAGAATAGGCAACAAATAAAAAGGTTAAGATTGTGATTAAATCAAGAGAAGCAAACCCATAATATCAGCAAGATCTGAGAAAACCTCTCATTCGAGCATAATCGATTAATTGGTGGTTTCAACGCGATTTACAGTGAAGCATTTTCATTGCAAAGTAAAACCAGGTTTGTGTTGATCGCTTTCACAAGAAAACAACTAGGAAGACTAATTTGCATAGGTGCTACTTTCGTAGAGCAATAGTGCTTCTCAAAACATCATGGAGTACTAGGTTAAAAATCCCTTGCGAACGTGTGGGCTCGAGGTTGGGCGCACAGTGAGCTACCATTATCGAAAAACCGAAAATGGCGCTGCAACTTTACTCCGACTCGGCTGTGAGGTCATCCAGTCACTTGGCGTTTTCTTCTTTTTTTCAGATGTAAAATCTGAAATTTTCGCCATTTCGCGATAGCCAAGAATGTTCAAATGCTTTTTGACAGCTAGCTAAGAGGACCGAGTTTCTTAAGCAAGGCGCTAACCAAGCTGGCACAGTGACCAATCACCTTCGTCATAGCGTACTGGTCAAGCGCTCAGTAAGAGTCGTGTAATTCATCATGGCAGAGCGTTAGAACAATATAAACAATAATTCTTTGATGAAAGAGACTTGCAGTAATAAAGAAACTTACAGTGAACATCGTTTTTTGTTGATCCGCAACGAGACATAAAACGCGACAATGCACGTAAACCCAGTGAGAGTGGTCAGCATGGAGAGTTGATTGAATTTTTTCATGGAACCAGGTGGTATGGTGAATGCCGACCATACTTTCACATTAAATTCCTCAATTTTATAAACAGAAGATGTGACGACGACAACACCAAGAATCTATAAAAGTATTATAAAAGTTGTATATGCATTCCTATCCTCCCAACGGTTTACCGCCTCAACGTGGCTGGGAGGTGTCCCTGGGTGTCGGACTGCGATGTACAGCGAGAAGATTCGTTTCCTAGGGAAGGTCTCCCAAGCTGAGATAGAGTCCGGCGTTTCCATCAGGAAGCCTAGCTAAGATTAAACCAATACCAGGATCTGCCACCGTCCTGGTATCAAAGTCGTAAGGTGGTGAATCTCCCTTTGATCCACAAGGGCCGCGACTGCCCGTGGTGGTGAAGATCTGAGGCAGACTTTGGCTAGGCTGACCTTGGGATTCCAAAGAACCACAATGGCTTAACCAACAATTCTCCGAGAGATGGTGATTATGTTGCGGCCCGCACAACCAGTGAAGACGGGCCGTTCAAGTATCAAGTATCATTTATTTATGTGATCTTATAAACTGATCTTCTTAAGCTGACGCGAGGTTGGTACAGATCTTCGTTGTCGTTGTCGTTGTCGTTGTTTTTGATGTTATTGAACGATGGCTGACGTTTCGGCGATTTTGCCTTCCTCAGAGCCTGGACGTACTTTATGTTAGAATACTTTTTATTATTCGGTGGAAAAGAAGGTTAAAGTATTAATGAAGATCAAACTTTCAAATAGACGCCATATTGACCAGAAAGGTCATTCACCGTGATGTTATGTGCGGGACTGGCCGACACGTAGTTTACGCGAGCAAGACACGCCCCGGGGTCAAAATATCATTTTGAAATAGGGCGCCAGGTCACGCGTGATAGTGAGGCATTCGTCCTTCCGGTTCATCTTTGGATTTTTGAAATTTATCCAAAACGCCTCAAGAGTTTTGCGCGTTGATGTTTTTGATTCCTGCGCTAGGATCCACACATTCACTTCAAAATCATCGCCGTTGTGCTTTTGTGCCCTATGCGTACCTAGAGGGGTGTTTAAACGGATTTTAGCTTTCCCATCTAGATGTTCTTTTATGCGGACACAAAGTGGCCTACCCGTTTCCCCGATATATTCCTCGCCGCATGCATTNACTTTCAAATAGACGCCATATTGACCAGAAAGGTCATTCACCGTGATGTTATGTGCGGGACTGGCCGACACGTAGTTTACGCGAGCAAGACACGCCCCGGGGTCAAAATATCATTTTGAAATAGGGCGCCAGGTCACGCGTGATAGTGAGGCATTCGTCCTTCCGGTTCATCTTTGGATTTTTGAAATTTATCCAAAACGCCTCAAGAGTTTTGCGCGTTGATGTTTTTGATTCCTGCGCTAGGATCCACACATTCACTTCAAAATCATCGCCGTTGTGCTTTTGTGCCCTATGCGTACCTAGAGGGGTGTTTAAACGGATTTTAGCTTTCCCATCTAGATGTTCTTTTATGCGGACACAAAGTGGCCTACCCGTTTCCCCGATATATTCCTCGCCGCATGCATTTCATGAGATCAAGTATATTATACCTACACTCATGCAATCCCCGTCTCTCCCGTTAGGACAGACCATACAGTTTTCCGAGCTGCACAAACGATCATAGAGACGGTTTCGAACTAACTGGCGGCGTAGTGTATGGGGTGGGATGTCAACAATCGTTACATAATTTTCAAGACCACTTTTTCTTAAGCACTTTTTAATGGCGTGGCTTACTTCATTTGATATGAAGGGCAGCTTAAAGGGAATCTTATTTTCGTCTGAAATATTATTTTGGGAAACTACCCAGTGTTTTCCTCTAACCCGAGTGGCTTCTACTTCGTAGCCATTGGAAATGGCAATTTTTCGTGCCAGGTTTCGCGATTCCTTCCTTTCCTCTTCTCCTGTGCACACATTTTTAGCCGTACGATACATATTTTTGATAAGTGCTTTTTTCATGTGTGAAGGATGAGAGGAGAGGCAGTGGACTAGAATGTTTTTACTACTTGGCTTGCGATACCATTTTGTTAAATAGCCACTTACTTAAAAAGCACAACGGCGATGATTTTGAAGTGACTGTGCGGATCCTAGCGCAGGAATCAAAAACATCAACGCGCAAAACTCTTGAGGCGTTTTGGATAAATTTCAAAAATCCAAAGATGAACCGGAAGGACGAATGCCCCACTATCACGCGTGACCTGGCGCCCTATTTCAAAATGATATTTTGACCCCGGGGCGTGTCTTGCTCGCGTAAACTACGTGTCGGCCAGTCCCGCACATAACATCACGGTGAATGACCTTTCTGTTCAATATGGCGTTTATTTGAAAGTTTGATCTTCATTAATACTTTAACCTTCTTTTCCACCGAATAATAAAAAGTATTCTAACATAAAGTACGTCCAGGC